CTAGTTATCTATATATAAGTACATCCAAAGCGCCTATATTTGAAGCGAATGTAATTCCCAACCCTGTCCGTCCTGTTTGTGATTATTCGTCTCGTGCCTCTCAACTTATGCCGATTGACCTGATTAGTGATGCTAGTGAATCTAATTGTGAAATAGGGCCGTCTTGTCTTGATATATCAACAGCCTCTTATTGTACGACTATGGATCAACTACAAGAGTTTATTGACACATCATATCAAAAATCTGTGGTGCACAAGATACCTTTTGCCCAAACAGCCGACAGTTCAACCCCATTTAAGCCGGGTCAAAGCAATATTTTGACTTTGGAAGAACAATTTAGTATATTCAAGGAAAATATTGAGTCTAAAGTAATAGCTTTGTCAACGAAAATTTTAGAACAAACTCAAATTTTCGAGAATATCAACAAAAGTATATGCAAATTGTCAAGGGAAAATTTACATTTAAGATCATGACTACATGACCCCAATATTACAGAAAGCAGTCTTCAAGTTAATGCTACGCTAGGTTTAATCGTGATATTCATGACTATGACACTAGAAGATCTAACGATGTCCGCCTGCATGCCGCTGACAAAGCGTAATTGGGGACAGCAAAAAGATAATTATATGTCATATTTTTAAGGATTGGAATAATTATATAAGAAATTGATAGTCTCTCTGTTTTTAAACGTAGTATTAGTTCTTAATTGAAATGGGGATTGCTTGTGTACTTATTGCTAGTATATACTGTAATTCTCATTGTAATATACGTAATGTATTATTGTAATTATTTCTACAGGATGTCAGGACCTCCCTGAAAACCACGTACGTGATGGGAGCTTCCTGTGTAAATATTACTCTAACAATAATAATAATTATATGGGTTAGGGTAATCCTCTTTCGCAATGATGCTGCATTTGAAGCTTTTTACTCTGCTGCTGAAAGAAGGGTTTGTTCTCCAAACAGATGAACAGAGAGGGAAGTAAATTTTAGAAGACTTTACTGTGAGGTTATTGATTGTACTGTTTTCTATTGGTATGCTCAATGGAAAGTTTAGAGATGCTAAGAGTGAGAGGGTTTCCTTTTTTGATTTAGTCAACCAAAACTGTTTGTTCAGTGGCACGAAAGTGTCCCCAATGATAAAATACAACAACTATAGTAAGTAAATATGGCCCTGTCTTTGATATTCCAAAACTCAAGAGTCAACTTTTATCAAAATCAAGACTTCCTAAGAGAAAACGCCACAGAGCTTTTGGAATTTGTCAGATAAATGTTCAGCATTGTATCCCAGACGTTGTGCAGTTACTCAAGCTGAATGGTGTTATGGCTGTCTCGAGTGCCTCTACTGAGAGACCTTTTTCTTGTTTGAAACGAGTGAAAACCTATTTGAGAAATACCATGGGGGATGACCGTCTTGGATCTTTGTGCCAAATATCTACCTATAGAAAATATTTTGAAAAAAAATAAATAAGATAAAAAGGAATTGCATGGGGCCATACTCGAGAAGTTCGTTGAGAAACCAAGAAGGCTTAATTTCAAATATAAATGAGTTCTTCCCTTTTTTCATTACGTGAACCTATCTAGTGCACTATGCTCGTGTGTTGAATAATGATTTTTCCAGGAAGTAGTATTACACTTACACAGTCTAGTACGGGTTATATTGCAAAGTCCTATCATTAATTTCTAGTTAACCATTAAACCACAATGCACCCCATGATCAAGTGTGATCAAGCCCTCTCCCTTAGGTCAGGTAATGAAAGATGCTGGGTGGGGTTAAAGGGTTAGAAGAATACTTGGATGTGGTGAGTAATTGAGCAATCTCATCTCTATGTAATATCCAAAATGGTCACCCATTTCTAACCAAACTCTTTTTGTGGTGAGGTGTGAAGGCGAGGGTTTGGCACCCGAAAACCAGAAGGCTGTCCATTTTGGAATCACACATACCTGCGCTACCGGTATTGGTGTTTCCTAAACATGCTGATGAGCCTTGATATTGGGCGAAATTTAAAAAGCCTTCATTTTTTGCTCAAATATATTTTTATGTTCAAATATTGATGTACATTATACAATACTGTCGTTCGGTTCAGTAAATGAGAAAATGAAACATTAGTTTGTTCTCCAGATATCTGAACCCCCTGTTTACGCATACGAGAGCATGACCATGTTTTTTTACTACGCTGGCTATTTTTCCTTCAACTGTTCCTGCTTGAATTTAAAGTGTGTATAATTCCACTCGATTTTAAGACCCTTTATATATACCCTGGAATTTACGTGCATCGAGTGAAGTGCCAAAAACCACAATTGATTTACCCCCCAAAATGCGGGAAATCGCATTTGCTGCACTCTAGAATTTCAAAATTTTCTTGAAGTAGTATATCCGTGTCAACTGATTGTTAGGGTTTGTTGATATTAGGGTTACTGAATGTGACTGTCATTAAAAATCACGTGGCGACTGGGTAAAGCTAATCTCCCATCTCTTTTTTCAGAAAAAATAAATAATTATATACCATGTACATTGTAACAAAATGTCACTCCTGATACAATTAGGTATCTTGAATGCCTCAAGTTTACATGCAGCTAGCATAAATATGGTGGTTTTTTTGGATTCGAATTCAAATCATGTTCTCCACATAACTTCACTACAATTAACATAAAAGATATAATTAGTACATCTTAGCAAAGACCCCTTCCAGGCGAAACAATGGCAAAGGTAAACCCATTGGTTATTCAAACTTAATTATGAGGGCTAATGTGAACAAGCATTGCGTGACAATTAATAAGCAAGCTTCACATACTACAACATAAATACTGTCAACAATTATACCAGCATTCTCTAATCTCATATGAGTGTGTCTAATTTTGTTTTAGCATTAATTCCAAACAAATGCGGCAAAAACCTAATCAAATATAAAGTGCTAAACCCGATATAACTTACGTCTATAATCTCCGTATCGTAGCGTAACGTGGCAAAACGTAGCGTATCTTACCGTGCGCATTTACGCATTGCATTTTCAACTTGTCGATTTTGACGAACCGTACAGAAACAGATAAATGATTTTTTTAATATGGGAGTTGTCAGTAAAAAACACTTTTGCTTTTTTTAGAAAAGAGTAAATACAAAAAATCAATATGGGTACGAATACTATTATTTTGAACAACGCAAGACTAAAGCCAAAAGGGAAATCTAACATTTATTAGTTCAAGATTTGCGTTTGTTTGACGACGAATTCTTTTTCAAATATTTTCGCATTACTCCTGGTAAACACGTTGTTATGCAGGCACCAGCAAATTCTGGTTCGATGTTTTCTAATTGTAAAAAAATTATTTCCATTGTCCTAATGGCCATTTGAAATGCGAACTACCAATTTACATTGGTCGATATTGGTGACTCACGACGAAATAGTGATGGTGGTGTAATTTCTTACAGTACAATGGGTGATTCAATTAAGAAAAACAGCTTAGGTGTCCAACGACCAGAAGCACTTCCATATTCTCAGAGATGCTATCCATATGTCTTTGTGGCAGACGAGGCTTTTCAGCTACAGCAAAATATAATCCTAGAGAAGTTCTTCGAATATCTTTCCTTATCCTAGAGAAGTTCTTCAAATATCCGAGCGAGTATTCAACTATCGCTTGTCAAGGGCGAGGAGGTAATTGAAAATGCTTTTGGAATTGTAGCAGCGTTGAAATGGTTAGTAGAATCACACAAGCTGTAGTAATTCTGCACAATTACCATCAGGCTGAGAGATCCTTTTCGCACAGTACAAAATACTGTCCAGCTGGTTTCGTGGACATGACAAACAGAATGTAACACAAACCGGGAAATGGAGAGAAGTTGTTTAAGCAGATCAGGGATTAAGGGGCATCACCAACGCTGGATCACGGCGCTATATAAAACACGGGCGTGGAAACGCGCTCATAGCGCGCTGATCCATGTGTGATGCCGGAATGGAGAGTGGTACAATTAAGCGCGCGTTATGCAAAAAAAAGCAAGAAGAAACAGAAGCCGTGGCGGAAAAAGAGTTTTGTGCGACGTCGAAAACCAAGGAGATTAGAATGTAGATGTAGGACGCCATAGTATAGGAAAGTTAAAGTAGCACTGATAATTACAAGCATTGTGGAAAAATAGTGGGAGCACTGTTTCCATAGCAACAGAGAGATAGAGTAAATGACAAAATGTTTTCAAAACAAGCGTATCCCCTACTCTCTACTTGGATGCCAGGATGCAACGACTCTCGTTTCAACATTTCTGGCAATTTCTGTTGTATAGCAGTCTCCCCAAGACACTCAGCTATAACCACTCGAAGTTTTCCAGGTGTATCATAAGTTGAATCACTTGTTTCCATTCTTCATACAATAAAAATATGAACGACCATGCCATCAAACAGCACTGACTAAAATTGAATACTTCATTAAACACAATTAAAATGTTAGCAAAGGTTTTAAATAGCTCCGAAATTGTTATCGTTAAGCTTCATAATTATTCGTTTCGGTTGGAGAATAAAAGTGACTTTATTGATTATCGATATATGATATTCAAAAAAAAATCTATTGGTTTCTTTTCTAACAACAAATTTTCCCAGAAGCAAAATAAACCCCCTTTAGACTAGGAGCAACGTTTTCAATATTTCATGCAATTTCAGTCGTTGAAGAAGTCTTCCCTTGACACTGAGCTATAACCACTGGAGGTCTTTCAGGTGTATCATAAGTTGAATCATTTGTCTCCATTCTTTTGGCCGAGTCTTCCTGCGCAGTATTCTCCAACTTGTCGTACGGAACAAAAATTTGTCTGACACGTTGCATACCATCATAAACATGGTGACCATCCTCATCAACATTCCCCCACGCATTTCTTAGCCAACCAATAGCTAATGGTCGGAAAAACTGAAGTCTATCATACCATGAGCTTCGCGAAGGTCCTGTATTGACGTAATCTCCTTCGTGGTTTATAACACCACGTGTGTGGCCTGGAATCGGGTCTCCATCTGTGGTCAAGTTTTGATAAACAACACCAGTACCAGTCTCTTGTGACGTACTCGCCCTTTCATTAGAAGGAACAAGACTTATACAGGGAAGTAGTTCGCCGTTTTCGCGAGGCTGATGTTGACCAAGGATTTGTTGAGAAGAAAATTTCACAATAGCGTAAAACGGAATTCCTAAATAGTGAATTGAAATAAAGACACGATATTGTTATACAAAAATTGAGAAATTGATAAGCGGTTTGGTTTGGCGATCATGAATGATTACCATGCCAGGAATTATCATTAAAATATTGATATGAAGACTATACGGAAATTGTCACCTTAATCTCACCTCTTTTTCCACGTCGTTTGCGACGAATGTAAAGATAGCTTAGGATTACGACGACAATCACAAATGTGGCAGCAACGATGAAACTAATCGTCTTGGTGTGGGAAACAACTGAAATATATTGATAAGTACAAAATATTATTACCTTAAATATTATTAGGAAGTAAATATTAGTAAGTATTATCAATAAATGCTGACAAATAATATTGGCGCAGTTCAATTCAAACTCTATTTGATATTGCAAGATACTCAGCACTCCACGTACGTTCTTACCCTGGCAAGCTTTCTTTGCGCACAGTCGATTTTCATGATCCGTTCCCTGCTTACTGCAGTTTCCACCATATTTTCCGGGGGGTTATCACAGGATCGAATCCAGATTTCAACACCCTGACCACACGTAGCACTCATGGCGACAATTTTGTCCAGTTGCCATAGTTACCATCAACTAAAAGTATAAATGTTCTTTGTGTCAATTTTGTGATCCTCAAATGATATCAACAGATCGTGCATTCTTATGTTGATCAATCTAGAACGGATTTAGCTATTCTGCGTCAACAAAAAAAATTTAGTTTTTAGTTGATTTCTGTATTGATATCGGATGATAAAAAATAATCTTTTTAAAGAAAACCCGTCGGAAGAACAGTTTGGAGAAAGACAAACTATCCTTGGTTATGTTTATGAACGATCAAAGTTAATTTAATGACTTTAATCCTCACCTGGACATGGTTTTTTGGCGCACTTCGTTAACCTCATTGACTTCCCCAGTTCACTGCAGTTACTGCCTCCGTATTTTGGTTCTGGATTATTGCAAGTACGTCGCCATATTTCAGTTCCATTACCACACGAAACATTGCAAGGAGAATTCAAACTCCAGTTGCTATAACCACCATCAACTAGAAATATGAGAAGAATGATACTGAAATATCTTCTCTCGCGTGTACCTGTAATTCATTTGCGAAATATGTAAGTTTGAAGTAAAATCGTTTATAAAACGTCTAATAGAGATTTGTTCGTACTGCTGGCTTCTATCTTGTTGACCATCTTGTGACAGACCCCTCAAGAAAGAGATAGCTAGCTTACCAGGACATGGTGTTGTCTGACATGGTCTGTGCTCAATAGCCTCTCCTAGATGACTACAGTTTGTTCCATCAAACTTTGGCTCAGGATTGTTGCAATTTCGTGTCCATGTTTCAAAACCTTCACCACAAGTTACATTACACGGACTGCTCAATGACCAGTTGCCATAATTACCATGAACTAGTAAAACATTGAAGTTTGTTCAAGAATTGAGACTTTGATGAATACTTTCCTGCATGTTTATTTTCCTGGAAATGGTTCCAGATGACGCTCCAGTTCAAAGATAATTCAAGATTGTTTATGATTATCATACCTGGTGTACATTTAGGGATATCACAGTACTCCCATCTCTTGTTCCTATCTGTAGTAAAACACCAAGGTCGCTGTCCCGAGTTTTTGGGATTGCGACAGTAATTCTTCGCGTTGTTTAATTCTGGATACATGGTGTTCATGGTATGACGATGAGGACATTGTTCTGTCCATGACTGACATGGAATACCTGAGGCTGTCATTGATATGTTCCCATGGTAACTGCTTCCGTTTAAGTACAAACAATCCGTGTGAAAGATATGATAGTTTAATCTCTTTCCTGCTTAAATACAAAAAAAATATTACCGAGGCAGCTCGATGCGGAACAGTTTTTCAACAGTTTTTTCTTTGGCAAAATTTAAAGTTGAATCGTACCTAAAATTGTTGTCCATTCAGGAGATGAAATTGCAGCTAGAAAAAAAGATCCTTAGTGGATTTTGAGTAGAGTTTTGTCGAGTAAAGATGTACTAGGTTTGTCGAATGATTTTCTAAGAGTAAATTTAATATTTTAGAAAATATTTTAGAAAGTTGAAGTGGTTGCAACACCCGAACTTTGCATCTGGTTCCACCCCTCGTATTACCTGTAGAATTTTCAAGATCACTGTACCAGCATTCTGGGGACTCACCAGCATTTCTGTAAGGCTGTAGTTCGCAAAGGACGCGCCTCTTTGACCCGGGAAATGGATGTCGAAGAACATAAACCTTTGTTATAAAATCCCATACTTTTTTTCTACATATACGCATAAGATTAAGACAAGTTTTACGACAAATTGCTTGATTTTTATATTCGCTCCTGGTTCCCTCACAACTAGGAAAATAATGATGACAAATGAATTCCGTATAGGCATGCATACACTTCGTCGCGGTGTCATTCTCCACATGAAGAAGGCTCCTTATTTTTTCCACACCTAACCTAACCATTTGATCGTACCCTTTATTGGCATCATTATTGAACCACCTTTGTCGATCAGGCGATCTGTATATGAAGTCTGACAAAGTGATGTCATGATTTTGACAAAATGGGCGAGAGAAATTTACCAAAGGATAACATCCACTTGATTTGAGTAATGATGGCTCAGCTTCGGCAGGAGTACACGATCTAAAATGAAGGGAGAGATATGTAAGATTGCAAAAGACGACATCTTACCCGTTCCTCTTATGGAGATAGTTTTCTGTAAGAAATGAATCCAAAGACATGACAAGTCTCTTGGCGTATTCCGGGCGATTATTTGACTTTATCATAGATGTCACGTGCAATATATTTGGTAGTGAAATCGTCGCCAAAATCAGTAGAACACCAGCAATGCTGATAAAACTGAAGAATTTTTTTGGAAATGCTGTACACAAACTTGTGCACTTTGTTAACTGCCCACATGCGTTCGTTTAAAGGTTTCTCAATGATCACCAGTATTATGGATATTTCAAATGATGTGAACAGTTTTTTTTCAGAACCAAACTGATCCTCAAGTGTACAATGTCCTCAAAGTAAATTAGAACTACAAATATATGCATGCAGCAACCCCTCGCCATTTCAACAAAACATCTAATGCCCCGTTGCCACATAGCCGGATTCAAGTGTATCCAACCAACTGTTTTGTAGTAGAATAATGTCTAAAATCTTTCGTGTCACCTTCAGTGATGCGTCACCCAAGATTAGAGATTGCGAGAAAGATGTTTTATTTGGTCTGTCTTGAAGATGGATTTCATAAGAAGTGGCGCGGCGAAGGATAGGGATAACCTCCCCCTTAATGGTTCCCCAGAATGAGCTTTCAGATTTTCCGAAGTTTCATGCGATGATAAGAGGGGTATAACAAGTTCACTGAAGAAAAGAGAGAATAAATTTAATTCTGAATGATGAACTGTTTGCCGGCGGCGTCACTCCATTGACATCAAATGAACCACATGCTCTACTCTCTTATCAAAGATTTGTATCATGCATAAAACGAAGCGTCATGGAACAGAATAAGGCTGGCCGTACCGAAACTGTAATTGTGTATTGATTTCCTAGAAGCTCTTATCAGCTTCTCAAACCGAGAAGATGCTAAGATACCATCTCGAAACGAAAGTAGTTTGTGGCAGCTCAAATTCAGCCTTGGAGACTTTCAGTACTAAAAAACTCATGCACGTATGTATATTCTGCTTTCGATTCTACTCTGTTTTGCGGAAGTCATGAAGTCTGCCGTTTAACCTCTTCGTTTACTGGTATCACTGGTATGAAGTTAAAGTGTCAAATCTATCAGCATTGGTTGTGGCGTTCTTGTGATCTTAGCAGTGACATTGCTCAGGTTATTCACTTTACCTGTTTCCATGTTGAAGATGTTGATCATCTATAACAAATAAGACAAAAACTAGGTAAAGCTCTTCGCGTAATCCGCGATATTAAATGACCTCATAAATTACCACGGATGTTACCTGCAATAATTGGTCGTGAAATCGTCGCTAAAATCAGTAGAACGACAGAAATATTCATGAAATTAACTATTCTCTTCGCACTGAAATTCACAGGCAATCTAATGAGAGCGTGCAAATATTTGTGACATATCTGCTCAATTGTGTTAGTTCCGAGGTTTTCAAATGACTTCATGTTAGATTATGATTATTTCAAAAATGTAAACATTCTATTTTAAAAATATTCTCATTCTCAAGGCTACAACTTCCTCAAAGCAAATTACAAAAGATTTCTTTAAATGGCATTTAAAGGAAGCAGCCGAGCATGTTTAATTGGAGCCAAAATTTCCTCATCGAAATGGAGTCAAAGTTCCTGCTCAGCGAAGACAGTAACTTGTTACTTTATTCAGTTTGAAATACAGAACTTATAAATATATTTTTTTACGAAGACAATGACAATAATTCAGAAAATAAATGCGATTTCATACAATAAAAATATGAACGACCATGCCATCAAACAGCACTGACTAAAATTGAATACTTTACTAAACACAATTATAATGTTAGCAAAGGTTTTAAATAGCTCCGAAATTGTTATCGTTAAGCTTCATAATTATTTTGTTTTGGTTGGAGAATAAAAGTGACTTTATTGATTATCGATATATGATATATGATATATAAACAATGCTTCAAACTAGTAAAATAATTAGAAAAGGCACAACTAAAGAGATAAAGTGATTGGTTTCTTTTCTAACAACAAATTTTCCCAGTTATTGCTGAAGCAAAATAAACCCCTCTTAGACTAGGAGCAACGTTTTTATTTCAATATTTCATGCAATTTCAGTCGTTGAAGAAGTCTTCCCTTGACACTGAGCTATGACCACTGGAGGTCTTTCAGGTGTATCATAAGTTGAATAATTTGTCTCCATTCTTTTGGCCGAGTCTTCCTGCGCAGTATTTCCCAACTTGTCGTACGGAACAAAAATTTGTCTGACACGTTGCATACCATCATAAACATGGTGACCATCCTCGTCAACATTCCCCCACGCATTTCGTAGCCAACCAATAGCTAATGGTCGTAAAAACTGAAGTCTATCATACCATGAGCTTTGCGATAACCCTGTATTGACGTAATCTCCTTCGTGGTTTACAACACCACGTGAGTGGCCTGGAATCGGGTCTCCATCAGTTGTCAAGTTTTGATAAAAAACACCAGTACCAGTCTCTTGTGACGTACTCGCCCTTTCATTAGAAGGAACAAGACTTATACAGGGGAGTAGTTCGCCGTTTTCGCGAGGCTGATGTTGACCAAGGATTTGTTGAGAAGAAAATTTCACAATAGCGTAAAACGGAATTCCTAAATAGTGAATTGAAATGAAGACACGATATTGTTATACAAAAATTGAGAAATTGATAAGCAGTTTGGTTTGGCGATGTCATGAATGATTACCATGCCAGGAATTATCATTAAAATATTGATATGAAGACTATACCGAAATTGTCACTTAATCTCACCTCTTTTTCCACGTCGTTTGCGACGAATGAAAAGATAGCTTAGGATTACGACGACATCACAAATGTAGCAGCAACGATGAAACCAATCGTCTTGGTGTGGGAAACAACTGAAATATATTGATAAGTATAAAATATTATTACCTTAAAATATTATTAGGAAGTAAATATTAGTAAGCATTATCAATAAATGCTGACAAATAATATTGGCGCAGTTTAATTCAAACTCTGTTTGATATTGCAAGATACGTGGATACACTCCACGTACATTCTTACCCTGGCAAGCTTTCTTTGCGCACAGTCGAATTTCATGATCCGTTCCCTGCTTACTGCAGTTTCCACCATATTTTCCCGGGGGGTTATCACAGGATCGTATCCAGATTTCAACGCCCTGACCACACGTGGCACTACATGGCGACAATTTTGTCCAGTTACCATAGTTTCCATCAACTAAAAGTGAAATGTTCGTAGCGTCAATTTTGTGATCCTCAAATGATATCAATTTAGTGATCCTCAAATGATATCTTAGGGTGATCAATCTAGAACTGATTTAGCTATTCTGCGTCAACAAAAAGAATTTAGTCTTTCGTCGATTTCTGTAGGGAGGACGACAAACTATCCTTGGTTATGTTTATAAATGATCGAAGTTAGTTTAATGACTTTAATCCTCACCTGGACATGGTTTTTTGGCGCACTTCGTTAACTTCATTGACTTCCCCAGTTCACTGCAGTTACTGCCTCCGTATTTTGGTTCTGGATTATCACAAGTACGTCGCCATATTTCAGTTCCATTACCACACGAAACATTGCAAGGAGCATCCAAACTCCAGTTGCTATAACCACCGTCAACTAGAAATATGAGAAGAATGATACTAAAATACCTTTTCTCGCGTGTCACCTGTGATTACGAAATAAGTTGAAGTAACATCCTTTATAAAACGTCTAATAGAGATTTGTTCGTACTGCTTGCTTCTATCTTGTTGACCATCTTGTGACAGACCCCTCAAAAAAAAGAGATAGCTAGCTTACCAGGACATGGTGTTGTCTGACATGGTCTGTACTCAATAGCCTCTCCTAGATGACTACAGTTTGTTCCATCAAACTTTGGCTCAGGATTGTTGCAATTTCGTGTCCATGTTTCAAAACCTTCACCACAAGTTACATTACACGGACTGCTCAATGACCAGTTGCCATAATTACCATGAACTATTAAAACATTGAAGTTTGTTCAGGCATAGAGACTTTGATGGATACTTTCCTGAATGTTTATTTTCCTGGAAATGGTTCTAGAGGACGCTTCATTTCTGAGATAATTCAAGATTGTTTATGATTATCATACCTGGGGTACATTTAGGGATATCACAGTACTCCCACCTCTTGTTCCTATCTGTAGTAAAACACCAAGGTCGCTGTCCTGAGTTCTTGGGATTGCGACAGTAATTTTTGGCGTTGTTTAATTCTGGATACATGGTGTTCATGGTATGACGATGAGGACATTGTTCTGTCCATGACTGACATGGAATACCTGAGGCCGTCACTGATATGTTCCCATGGTAACTGCTTCCGTTTAAGTACAAACAATCTGTGTAAAAGATATGATAGTTTAATCTCTTTCTTACTTAAATACAAAAAAAATAATTAGCGAGGCAGCTCGAATTGTTAAAAAAACTGGCAAGTTTTGAAGTCGAATCGTACCTAAAATTGGCGTCCTTTGAGGAGATGGGATTGCAACTAGAAAAAAAAATCGTTAGAGGAGTTTAAGTAGAGTTTGTTGAGTAAAGATGTAGGTTTGTTGAACAATTTTCTTAGTGTAAAAAGTGTTTAGATTTAATAAAGCGTTTTAGGAAGTTGAAGTAGTTGCACCACATGAACTTTGCATCTGGTGCCACCCCTGGTTTTACCTGTAGAATTTTCAAGATCACTGTACCAGCATTCTGGGGACTCACCAGCATTTCTGTAAGGCTGTAGTTCGCAAAGGACGCGTTTCTTCGACTGCTGATCAGGATGTTTATGGGTATAAGCTTTTGCAAAGTAATCCCAAATTTCACCACATATACGAATAAGATTGAGACAAGTCTCTCGACAAATCGTCTGCTCCTTATACACCGCCCGGGTCGCCTCGCAACTCGGAAAATGATAATGACAAAGGAGTGGCACTGAAGCATGTACGCACTTTATCACCATGTCGTTGTCCACTTTAAAGAATCTGCTCATTTTTGGTACACCAAGCCTGACATATCGATCGTACTCCCTATTGAGATAATCATTGTACCATCTTTGCTTATAAGGCGTCTCGTATATGTAGTCTGACAAAATAACTCCATGATTTTGACAGAAAGGCCGGGTGAAATTCATCAAAGGATAACATCCACTTGGGTTGAGTGTTGGCTTATCTTCGGCGGGAATACACGTCCTAGAATGAAACATAAACATTAAAGCAACCTTAAAGAAAAATCCTCTTTAAAGGAAAATAATAAACTTTTTTGTTCCGCATTTAACCACAAAATAATTCTACCCAACTAACTCAAGCTCTATCAACTAACATTGTCATCTGATCTTGGTCGATCGAGTTAAAAATGTTGACATTTTTATTGCTCGTTGTGCTATTGTTCCTGTTTACGTTGGTTAAATTTTGGACTTTAAATACCCTAGCGAAATGAATAAGCATTCGGTGTATAGTAAAGTAAACAAACATTGCCATAAATACCAGCCGTAATGAACACTTTCACAGTTTTACTGCGACGAAATCGGCGCATTTATTTTGAATATATAACCAAAACGAACAGAAGGGTTATGGTGCTTATAGTTTTCTATCCAATTACAAGAAAAAATGGGTTTATATGTTGTTTCTGGTCAAAGTCGTCTAAGAATGCGCTTAGGCGCAAACTATTGTAATATCTGTTCCTCTGCACTTGACGTCACAAATTTATTTTCGCATAAATTAGCAAACGAGTCTTTTTTCAAGATGGCGGACGACTGTCAAAAGTTTTCAAAAATATCTAAGGAACTAAACGCGATGGTCAAGTAAAAATAGGAAATTAAGTATTCCATACACATGTTTAATTGATAGCAAGAATAAAAAAAATTATTGCCAATGTCCTTTAAGGGCCTGTTTATATGATCCCGCCCAGCCGGGACGGGACAGTTTCCGAGATCCCGCTTGTAATACAAACACTAATTAGTGTTTATATGACCACTTTTCCATCCCGCCTAGGCGGGATCCCGGCACTTCTTGCCGGGATTCCGCTTAGACGGGACAAGAAATTGCCATATAAATACTCCATCCCGCTTAGCCGGGATGATTCGCGATTAACATACATTAGGAGCATGTGTATATATTGGCATATTCGTTTTCTACAATAAAACATGCCGTCGAAGGAACCTGCACTACAAAATGAACTCCATATAAACACGCCATCCCGCCTAGGCGAGTTTCCCGGCTAAGCGGGATGAAAACATCCCGTCCCGGCTATAGACGGGATCATATAAACAGGCCTTAAATCTGTAAATCTTCAACAAATAGTTCAGCACAATATATACAATTCCGTGATTTCTTGAACAAAAAGCAAGAAGAGATATTGTAAACGAAAACTTCATACCTGTTCCCGTCATGAAGATGTTTATCTGTAAGAAATGAGGCGAAAAAAATATAGTTTCTTTACGTATTCCGTGACTAAATTGACTGATTTAACAAAATTGTAGATATATACCTGCGATATTTGGTCGTGAAATCGTCGCTAAGATCAGTAGGACACTAGAAATATTCATTTTCTCCCGAATTTCTGCCCACAAATCTGTCCAAATATGTTGGGTTGATTCAGATTTCTTATGATTTATTATAAGTAGTTCAAGTGATTTAAACAGTTCTGTTATAGAAACATTCTTATCTTTTCGTGTACTGCGACTTCCTCATTGCAATTATAAACGATTTCCTTCACTGACAGCTGATTAGGAGGGCAGCCAGGTATGTGTCATTGGAACGAGGAATTCATGGAATATGGAAGCAAAGGTAGTGCTTACCATGCAAAGAGCGTTAGTTCTATCATATAAGTTTGAAATGCAGGAGCTATAGTCTTACTCCGCGATTTCAAATTGATAGGATATATACGATCGTCAAATTATGCAAATTTTCTCCCACTCGGAGATGACTTGAGTGTGGTGTCGTATGTCAAAATCGCATGATGTAAGATATGTAACATATATTTATGTAACATATATATATATGATATGTAACATATATTTATGTAACATATATATAATGATATGTAGTAACATATATATAATGATATGTAACATATATACATATGATATGTAACATATATATATAATTATATATATATATAAATATATATATAATTATATATATATATATATGATGTAACATGTATTTAACATGATATATTCGATGTATTGTACTCGGCCACTTGTGAAATAGAAGAACCAGTGGGGTACTCAGCCTGCCAATTTAGTCATGCTATGCAAATTTTATGTTATTATCAGTATAGTTGAGGTATTCCGGCAGTAAATAACTAAAGGTTCACAAGCGAAGAGCAAAGTCTACAAGTTAAAGTAAAGTTCTGAGTTATTAGGAAAAAAATGTAAGTCGTCTTTTTTATTTGTATTTAGTTATTGTAAGGTTTGAGTTACACTATATTAATTTAGGTTTATGTATTTTGTTTTATTTAGTCAAACCACGTTGAACTTCAGGTTCACGTTTCACGATTTGCATATCGTCAATTTCGGGTTAAAATATATTTACAGATTATGTACGAGTTTATTATCTATTATTGTCGTTACCATTGGCAAAAGTGTATCTACCCATTCTACGTGCGTTTTGGATTGTTTTCCCGGCATCAATTGTGCTCACACGTAATCACTGTTTGCGTTCGATGGTGTTAGAGCTTAGAGTACATATGACTAAGAGCCTGTTTACATGGAGCGAGTTATCCCGGCTAGGCGAGGTGAAAACTGCATATGATGATGATGTGATGCGCTTTTTACCTCGCCTAGCCGGATGAACAAGAAAGACCCCATTGCGTTTGATACCTTGAGGGAATAACGTAGGCGAACATCATTTAGGTTCATGATCATTCTTGTTGGCGTGCTGAAAAGTTAGGTAAAAGGTATTTTATTTTTCATTTCATTTTTCATCGCTACTTTTTTCTAAATTGCAAGTGACGTTTTAATTCGTCTTTGAGAATAATAGTATAGTGGCTTTTATGCTGTTTTTACAAATTCTCTCTGTATTATAACAGACCCCATATCTCCTAGAAAATATTGCCTTGTCACACCCACAGTAGAAGTTTTTGTTTGGGCTTCTCGAAAGACCAACACAGTCCCAATGGTGCCACTTGTCGCACTTGTCACATTGAACCCAGTTTAAGCTCCCAGTTTTCTCATCAACTGGGGATTCTTGGCACAAAATGCCGAACACTTCTGGTACGTACACCGCTTTGCTTTCTTCTGTGGGTGTTTGGTCTTATTCCCCCTAAGCTTTTCTCTTGCTCTTCCTCGTCTTTTCATGATCTGTATATCCCTTAGTCCATGCACTCATTTCCCCACCTAGCCTATCAACATTATCTTCACTTCACACATTATCACCACCAATCTCCCCAGCATTGCGTCCACTGCTTGATCCACTGGCACCATTTTCACCTAACCAACTGTCTTCTTCACCAACTTGCCTACGCTATTTTCACAACTCAACTCACTAGAAGTACCTTCACCACTTAACGCATCCGCATTATTTTCACTAATAAACAAACCATCATTATTTAAACTGTTCATTCCCATTTATTTAACCCAGGAACACTTCCAACATCGTCCGTCCTTTCCTCTGAACCTGAACTTTGGACAAATTCCATACCGTTAGCGGCTTCGATTATTTTGTCCAAGCTTGCTTCACCCATGTCGGCAGGATCGTTAAACTTTATTCCTTCGTGAAGGCCACATAATTCCAACTTCAGTTCTCCTTTTTCCAGCGCTGTGTAGGGCAATCTGGCATGACCGCTTTCTTCCCCTTGAAAATATAATATAATGTATAATAAAGTAGTTTTACTACGTTTTGTAGTGGTACATTAAATAAAAATACTTACTGTATTTCTTATTTATACGGTCTTCCGTTTCCGCTTTAACCTACTGGCTCTAGACTCTTCGACTGTTGTCTGTACTATAGTGATAGATATACAAGAACATCAAATCACTAGCCGAGAAGGTAACAACATAAGATATAGCTCCTGCGATACGACTGGTTTCACTCTTCCTATACTCTATATTCAAATTTTCTATTAGGTTAATTAACTTAATTTGCTAAACATTGGCTTTCTGTTTTTTTGGCACAACTTCTTAATGAAACGTGAAAAATTTGAAAAACTGAATATTCTCTCACATCGTTATTTTTCTGATAGAAAACCTAACCTTTTCCTCCATTCACAGCTCCAACAAAATTCGCATTATTCCATGCCAAGTTCTTTAAGTCCTGATAACTACAAAAAATAACTATATATATATACCCCCATAAAATTGAAACTCGTATACAATACAGTTAATACCTAATGTAACAGGGTCTATGCCCTATTAAACACCCTAGGCACACGTTTATAGCACGCGTATAATGTAACAAAAATGGACAGTCTCAGTACCTCAGGGAAAAGCCCGCATATTTTCGTGCGTTGTGGCGCAAAAATATATTTATCGATTATTTGTATTTTATATCAGCCCAATCAGAAGCACAAGATAAATTAAACTAATATACCGGCGAAATATTTGCATATACTTTATAATGCATTTACTTCATAAATCGCCTGATCGCTATTGCATGCAAATATTTCGCAAAAAAACCCTCCAGCAGATATCTCACCTCAACATGACTTATCTCAGCAAAAGATTTGTGACCAGAGATTTCGATATAAGTGAAAAATTTCTTACAGCCAGACTGGGGCGATCGTACAAACGTACGTACGTTACACGGCTGCCAGGCCGTACGTTTTAGCCTTTAAACGCGGCTATCAGCCGCATGACTTAGATGAACCGGGTGACGTCAAAGCCATGTTTGCTCCAAACATTTTAAGTCTGATGACTTTTTGGGAATTTGCATGGTTTAGAACAACGCACATTCCCTCGACTGAAGAGAAACGAAATTGTGGTTACCCCGTATCCAACGATACAAATTGCAGTTACAGTTACTTATGTTACTTATATCTCTCATAATTTAAAAGTGCATTTAGAATGTTGAACTCTAATGAATTACCGACATAATTACTCGATAAATAAGTATAAGACATGAGTAAATGTAACATTCTCACCTTGCATCGAATCGCCTTGCAGATCTCGCAGATACGTCCATCTGTTTTTCGACCGCAATTTGTATCGTTGGATACGGGGTAACCCCAATTTCGTCT